TAAGCTATAAAATAATGAGACCTTGCTGCTCATCTATTACTGGGCTTAAAATATAGGCACCGCAGAGTAAAGCTTATCAAACATGAAGATGGTTACAGAGAAATAGCGGGGAGGGTGGGTAGATTAAGGCACTGAGAAATTAACTGAAGCAGAATCCTCGGCTCGCCGTCGGAAACGCAGCCCTAAAATAGAAACTCCAGGCCAGACGTTGCAGAAATAATCAACGAATAGGCTATTTATAAAAGTGTAAGATATTCTACAGAGAAAAAAAAAAAAAAATCTATCAGGACAAACAATTTTCCTAGCAGACCTAGCAATTAATTCAATGTTTCCATTTCGTGCCGAGGGAAAATGATAGCCAGAGAAGGCGCAAATTCCTAGAGGAGGTTTTTTTTTTTTGTTGCTTCAATATCGAATTTAACCTAAGCAAGGGAATAGAGCCATTAAGGCAAGGAGTTACTGCGTGTCAGCAAATTAAAAAAATAAACTTTATGGAGCAACAACAATAGAAGAGTAATCAGGAAGAGAACTAAATGCCATGTCAATCGTTTAAAAAAAAAAAAAAAAAAAAAAAAAAAAAAAGGTGGCGGAAAAGCATAGACCTGGAAGAAAGTTCCACAAGCGAGACGTGAGAGAAAAACTTAGTTACATCTATCAGACTCCATTATAAATTGATGAGATCTTGTCAATCTAGTACTGCGCTTAAATTCATAAAATCTAGGTATTATAGCGATGAGCTCATCCGAGCAATAAACCATGAAAGTATTTATAGATAAAAAAAAAATTAAAAGAGCAGTTTCGTTTTACATGTGATCAAATTAACAAGTCATTTCTTGCCCCAGTTAACCCGATTGGTAATTTATTATGCTTGTTAGTATGAATAGAAAAAAAAAAAAAAAAAAAAAAAAAAATGGAAACTTACCAATACAAAGCCGATTACTTTCTTATTAGTTTTTTGGAAACGATTCGAAAGAACATTTTCAAAGTCATTGTTACTCGCGCTGCGAAGCTTACGCATAAAGGAATCGCCAGGCTCCATCGACAACCACCAACCTGGTAGAGTTGTCAAAGACAGGATAAAAGACCAAGATAAGTTCCAATATTAAATTGCAGACAGCAAATATGACTTTCCATCGACATGGATCTAGCATTGCAACATTGTAACAATTAAAACACTGTCATATATAGTGATAATTTACCCTGGATTTGTGACCAGGTTTTTTTATCGTATCACAACCTTTCGGCCATTGTGCCTTCCAGCGCAAATCACGTCCTTGCCTCGATCAGTTCAGAGAACTTCGAAGGGAACCCTTAATCTACGGTGGTACAGTGTTCTCGTTCCGTTACCCCGAACCAGTGTGTGTACTACACCCGAACTAATTGGGGGTGCCGACCAGTGCTTTGTGATCTTCACTATATTAACATTTGCTTTTATTTTATTTCTACCTACCTTTATACAAATTAAAAATTAAACTAAGCACAACTGACTATTAAAAGATTTTCGGATTTTGAAGTCGATTTTTAAAAAGAATTTTAAGAGGTCGCATCATACGCGATATATAAAATTAGCGTATGTACTGCTGGCTCTGGTTACACCGTTGACCAGACTATATATTCGTTTACTGGAGTCAAATTAGCTTCAAAATTAAGTCTTCAAAAAGGTCGCATGATACGTATGTAATTCACTATATTTTTTTTATCTATAACGTCAAATGTGTTAAATTCAGCATTTTAAGAAAAGATTGATCAAACATCAACTTTAAGAAAAAAATGTTAAAAATTGACTCAAAAAAGATTTAAATATGGAATATTATGACATGTCGAATTTGTATTTCGATACATTGTTTCGTCTTCAATTTTTCTACTTTAATTTTTCACCTATATTGAATAAGATGGGCTGTACATAATTGCGTTACAATAAAATTTGTATTTCAAATAAATATACAACCTTAGGATAATGGAAATGTAGAGTGGGCGTGCGTATCAGATTTGGGAGGTGGGGGGTACAAGTCACTTGTACCGACCCTACCGTTACCCATGTTTAGGCACTGATGTCAGTTAATTTGTTACCAAAGTCACGTACCAACTGTTAATCAACTAGGCTGTTAGTAGTTGAAAGGGCAGGCACATATTCCGTTCTGAAGTTATAGGATATGTAAAACTCGTTCACGAAGCTAAGTGGGAAGTGTCTACAAAAATTGTGAATTTCTAGATGGAGGAGTATTGTTTATATGTGGACTAAACGCCCTAGTTATCAACGTTTGGGTCATTGTGCTGTGCTGCGTTTATCAGGTAGATTGTTCACGTTCCGTTCGTCTTAGTTGTGCGCAATGCGTGATATGCGGTTAGGCGATCATTTACCTTTCGATACATGACTGACGAGGCAGATTTTTTTTCCTGCAGTCAGTTGCCATTTCTTTCTGCGGTAGACCAGTTGCCATCCAAAACTATAGAACCCGGTCTGTCCTGCTATTTACCCATAGCTGGGAGAGGGGAAGAAGAGAGTTCATACCTTTCCCAAGGGTATTAGCAAGTAAGTGAATGTAATGGATTTGACTGGAATTCGAACTCGGATTCCTCAATCCGATCCACTATCCATTCACTTATGCATGATACAGGCTTAGGCGATCATGTATTTTTCGATATATGAAATCAAACTTAGAGAACATTTCCTGTGTTGCCTCTTAGACCAGCAATGGCTAAGAAGTGCGAAACGTGGTTCCTTGCTTTGCTCTAAAAGGTCAAGTGGTAGCAGACTCGCAAAAAATGGCATCTAAACATGCGATATATTCAAAGAACAGAAATTCAATTTTAACAGTACGACTACTGCTAAGTATCAAGGTCTCAGCCTGGTAACACCGATGCCAGGCGCTTCGGCGACTGTTACAAGACTGCACTGTCGGGCCGAAAAGACTGAACTCACAATTACTATGTTACTAAATAAGAGAGACTGGAGATCACAATATAAGCGGCGAACTGAGAGTAATGCATTCCTGTAGATTAAAAAGGTATCATCGTGATATCCCCCGCTGAAGATTATTCGAATCGACAGATCTGATGAAGGCACAATGGTCGAAATGTTGTCATAAGATGAGTTTAATATTTACATGTTAACTAATGTTTAGAAAACATGCGCTGCAGACAAAAAAAACTGTTTTACTTACCATCAAAACAATGAACTGGATAGTTACAGAGAAGCGAACCAACCCAATAATTGCTGGAAGGACATTCTGAATATGGCGATAGCTCTGTGGGTCCAGTAGAACCTTTGAATGATTAAAAACAATCAAATACAAATATACTTCAATAAGTCACGTTTAAATCATTGGTGGTGTTATTTAAAGTTCCTGGTCTTCCCATTAAAAGGAAAGGGATTGCACCGCTAACGCTCAATGGTATCTTATCTGTTGAGCTAATAAGCTTCAACTTATCTGGGTGTTTAGTTATAGGAAACTGGCGTTTCCACAGAAATGCATCTCCAAGAAAATCAATGAACTGATAACATCAGTCCTCTTGTATGGCCGTCAATGCAGGACAATCTCTACACATGAAGTGAAAACTAGAGGCTAAGGAAATGTTCTACAGAAGGATGTTGAGAATAACACGGATGGAGCGAGGAAATCTTACAGAAAATGAACACAGAATCCGAGACGGCGGAAACTTCTTGGACACATGAGAAAAAAAAAAATCTTCAAAGATATTTAAGGTAAAATAGATAGGGTAAGGCATTAAGCCACCTATATTAAGAGGTGGTGTGAAAATGGATGGCGGAATGTGGGACAGTAGGCTTTGCAAAGGGACAAACGATCTGACACTAACTAAAGAATTAAATGTAATGTCAATCGCTCTCTACTGTCTGGATTACTATTCTCTTCCTGTTCATTAATATTTGTTAATTGTTCTGCTCCCTGTAACCCCCTTGTGTCTCAGTGGATTTACTGCCTTGCATTGGGTGATACAAATCAAAACACCAAGAGGAAACAAAATTCCGAAACAATACCCAACCAAAAAAAAAAAAAAAAAAAAAAAAAGATCCGGAGGTCGATGCGATCCTTGATCGTCCACGTCCGAAGGGAACAGGGCATATAGAAGAACCTAATAAACATTTAAGATTGCTATGTAAATTCATTCTTAATTACTTTCACTACACACAAAATCAATTGCACCATATTCTGAATTTCTTTTCCTGTGTTTCGTTAAAATAGGTAACCGAGTACTAAAAATTGAGAAAAGACAGACACGTTCAGTAATACAAAATTATGTAAGAAAATGTAAGCACACTTTCAAACTTGGCTCCGTAAATCGATTACAAGTTGCTCTAAAAAAAAAAAAAAAAAAAAAAAAAAAAAAAAAAAAAAAATAAATAAATAAAAAAGTCACGGTCGATAAGAGACTTATGAACAAGATTTTCTAAATGATTAAAAAAAATAAAATAAAAAATTTTCTATGGAGGTGAACCAAAACTTGGAGAGTCGAGTTAACTGATACTGAGAGACCCAGAAGAGGCATGGCATGTGGAACTAGAATACTATCCCGGTGGACGAAAGAAAGGGTTTAGTTCGAAATTCCAATCACACGAAGAAGGCCGGGGCGTACAACGGCCGAAACGTCGTGAATATGGCAACGAAGATGAGGGCAACAGTTCGAATGATGTAAATAGTTTAAATAATTCCAATATTTCATCTCAGAAATATATACAGATATCGTTTTTTTATCTATTCCGAGAAATGTAGTGGATTGTGACAGATTCATTTCCTACGGCTTAACCTATTGCAGGTTATTTAAAGCCAGAGTTTTCACGAGTTTTGTTTTTTTAATAGAGTAACAATTTGTGGGAGTAGAATGGTTTACTGATAAGTGTTCTTAACTCACAGCTGGAGGAATAATGTGAATTCAAAACTTTCAAGAGTATTTGCGTATAAGTGAATTAACAAAGCCAGCGGGAATTGGAACTGCTCTCCAATTAACAATTTCTAACTATTATCCATTACACCATCCACATTGCAACACCAAGTATTCATAAGCGGTCACCCATCTCAATACTGAGCAGGCTCGACGTTGCTTCACTTGGGTGATCGTACAGGAACCAGGGGATAGTGAAACATCAAATGAATGGTAATGTACAGGGTGTTCTAGAAGTCTTGGGTACATTTCAAGTCCTCATATCTGCTGAACTATGAATGGTAGCAAGACGAAACTGGTACCATTTTAAAGCTACATTCATTAAAGATATTTGTTATACTAATGATATTTTTTTTTTCGGATCCAGTAATGGCGTTTTGCTTCCTTGAATTTGCAAAAACAATCATGGACACTTGTTCAACATGCATTTCGCACAAAATTCCGAAACGAGGCACCAAAAAAGGAGTCCATATTGAGATGGCATGGTGAATTATTCGAGCCTATGGGTCAATCTGTCTTGCTAAATTAACGTTAGGACAGTGTAAACTAGACCTTCGCCATTTAAGCCTTGTGCCACATTTGTACAATGCATCAGCATCAAAAGTTAACTATCTCTGCTACCTAAAGCATGAGGTAAAGAAGAAAACGACAGGAATAATTTCTGGTGAAAACTGCGTTTGGAATTAACGTCTTTTTAGAGTCAATAGTTGGTTTTGACAGAAAGGAAAACATTCTAGATATTTTAATACAACTATTTCAGTCGTAACCATGAGCTTATAAGAGGAACCAAAAATAATTCTAACACCTTTGGCCATAAAATGATCAAAAGATTTACCTGGAATCATTAGCGATATTTCCAGCACCTTTAAGACGGGAACATCCGGATAAGTCTTCGGGTGAAAATATTCCTCGCATGTTTTGCTTAGATTGGTTAAGACAATGCAAAGTTCCCGACCAAATTTTTCGTATATCTATCGATAGAAAATATTCAAGATTGTAATATTTTTTTTTTGAATCGTAAAGGTTAAACATTGTAAATAAATAGATATAAACATCACGATAAAGGTTATAAAGTGTGTACCTGTTAGAGTTAACATACCTGTTTTAAGACAGACAAATATAAAGTCTTAAAGGAAAGGTGTAACCCGACAACAATTGAACTTAATTGGGTTCCTTGATGAAAAAAAAGGAACGGGTGACCATATGAAACATACAGTGTAACCCGGATATAAGAGAGTTGTCTGGACCGGAGAAGAAGTCTCTTATATCCGGGTTTGGTCTATTTTATATACATTAACACAGGCTCTAATTTGGGACCAGAGAAAATCTTATATCCGGGTTACACTGTACACTCGTTACGCGCGTTATTTATTTAAAACTAGAGCCCGGCGTTGCAACAGTAAGAGATCAAGTATCGACCATCATAAAGACTGAAAAATAAAATTAAAGATTATTGTTTAAGGTTGACGGACACGCATGTCTTAGGTTTTTTTGTTTTTTTTTACGAATTGGTCAAACCCAAACATTGTTTTCAATCGTTATGAGTCTACCGATTGAATAGACTTTTATTATAAACAATTGTCTTGTAAATGTAATTTTTAAAGCATTCTGAATGTAAAAAAGAAAAGTTTGCAAGACAATAAGAAACTACCTGCAAAAAAAAAAAAAAAAAAAAAAAAAAAGTTTTGTTGAAATCGATTGAAAAATGTAAGAAATCCGATCCCATATATAAACGAACACACACAACCTGGGTTTTATAATAAGTAAAACTCGATGAGTTATCCCCCTTCCATACCGCGAAAGTGATGCCTCTTAATCGTGTTTTCAAATTGATTCTGTGCAAAAATAATTGTTTTTCCTATTTTTGGCGCTGTCAGAACAACTGCAAGGTAATTTTACGTAGTCCTGTGAAGTTTTGTTGAAATCGGTTGAAAAATGTAGGAAATCCAATCCAATATATAAACGTACAGACACACAACCTGAGTTTTATAATAAGATGCAGCTGTACATTTTGACTACAGTATATGGATATATAGTTTGGCTAACGGCTTAGCCAGCAGTACATATGCTAATTATATGTCATGTATGATGTGACCCTATTAAAATTAGCTTCGATATTAGATCTTCAAAAGTCGCATGATATGTGAATACTTACGGTAATTATTAATGTTTATTTTTATATTTCCTGCCCGTCTGTAGTGGAAAGGGAGGTAAATCAATTTAAGTAAGTTTATGAATAATTACTTCCATTAGTCATTTTAATCATCTATAAAAAAACATTTCACAAAATTGGTTCCTGAACAACATGAGCCGTTTAATTCGTTTATTCATAATTAGATTAGATTGAAACCTTATTTTCAAGTCTTTCTTGTGAGTCGTTTGTCAATTAAGTGAATTGCTTCAACTTGCTGGTGAAGGGATTTTGCGTCGCCATCTTTAACGTTTCGATACTAATTGTTTTCTACCAAAAACAATTTCTACTTCACTGTTTTATATATATATATATATATATATATATATATATATATATATATATATTCTTTATAATAAACAGTATTAATAACATTTACCGGCCTGATTATCAGAAATTTCATAGAAAATATACGTCCTCCGACAAGAATCGAACTTTTATCCTATATGGAACAATAATGTAGTCTGAGCTGGTATACCGGTTTAGCTACGAATGTAGAGTTTGATTGGCATTTACTTAAATATTTGTGTCTATATAAATAACTTATAACAATATATTAAAATAATTGTCGGGCAGTCTATTTCATAGTGTGTATATAGAACTAAAGGCGCTCAGGTTATTTTCCTAAATTATATTTTACAGATAAATTGTCCGTAAAATGGTGACTGTTAAAACCGGCTAATGTTTTTAAAAATGCATTTCAGTGTTATTTGAAACTTAATATTTGTTTAAAATCAGATTAATTATACATTAAATCGGGTTATATTCCTCAAAGTTTTACAAAACTATTTTATTTTTGCAAAATTTTAAAAATGAACTAACTTACAAATAAAGAAAATGAAAATTGGATTACATTCAATAGAATATCTGTTTGAAATATACTGAACAGTATTTTGATTTCCGAAGTCAAATTTAATCCTTTAGCTTTTAATTAAAGATAAAATTTGAGCTTTCAATTTTAAGGATTATTTTAAACCTTAGCTATCGCGATTTTAGTGGAGGTACCAATGTTAAAGATTGGTATTCTGGAACTAATTGAACCTCACTTTACTGATAAATCCTATTAGACTAAAGAGTTCTTTCCATGACAAGAAAAAAAAAAAAAGCGAATACCGTTTCCATTCCCGCCATTATTTTGTATGAAATCATCGCTAAGCAGCTGCCATTAATTTCAGTGTTTGAAACATAACTTGCAACTTGCTGAATATCACGGAAAGACATTTTGTAAGGGTTGTTAAAAAAAATTAACTGAAGGTTAACAGTTGGTTTATTTTTATTTTTTGTATGCTTAATACATTCAGACAATTACATTATAAAAGTAAAAATTACGAGCTGAGAAAATTGGTTCAAGGAATGACCACAAAAAGGAACTTGACAAGCGACAGAACCACTGGTCAAATTCCCATCCGATTTGCAATTAGATCAAATTCAGCCGCCTTGTGTGTGTAGGAGAGGTAAGTTAGTATTGTTAGAGTTACCTGCATAAAAGTAATATTCGAGTTTCCGGTTTTGTCCGCCAAGAACTGTGCACACCAGTCCAAGAGCTTCCGGTCCTGGTCCTTGCCATAATAGTTTATCAAAGATGGAAGCAGATAAGGATAATTTTCGTCTTTTACTACAAGAGAAAGCAAAGAACGGGAATTGAAATCAGTTTAACTTTCATGACTACTTTGCTCAAAGCTTTCAAGCAGTCGCAATAAGGGTCAAACATGTTTGTATCGCCTCTTTAAAAACCGCAACTATGATGCGTTTTTATAGCTGCAGTGGTGAATAAGAAAAAAGAAAACGATAGCGGCAATCACTTCAGAAACGCTCAAGTTATCTCCAGAACTGCAGTCTGTCCGCATATTAAGCAAGCCTATTTGGTGGAAGACTAAATCTACAAGTATACACCTCCCTAAATCGTTAATTCAGAGGTAATTAGGTCGAAAAACGACCTCAGTCAAAATAACCACACAAACTGCAAATAAGCCCTCCCCATTGCCTTTGTGATATTTATGATAAGTACGTACAATATTTTGAATAAAAAAGAATTTCCACCTCATCTTCCAGCGATATGCCTTTACGCTAAGCATTAGCACTTTAACTGGGACTTTTCTTCGGAGCCACTAGCAAAAGTGTATTCTAAATCACAATTGCAATGTAATTGAAAGAACGTCAACGGCAGAGCACAGATGTAAACTAGTTTGGATTCAAAAATGGAGTTGGAGCGAAAAAACGCACGAGTGCCGCCTGTCGGCCGAAATTTGAATTATAAACATTTTATTATACTAATTGTTTTGTGTTTGAGGATTCTGAGAGATATGAATGATTGTGTTTGTTATTTTAATGTTTTGACGTTTCTAATATTTTTAACGGCCGACGTAAACTCTAGTAAAACGACGTAAGGCGAGTTTTATTTTTCCATAAAATATGTAAAAAAGCGACGTATCTTCGAAAATGACAAATCGAAACGACTTAAGTCGAGGTATCACTGTACTTTTAATGCTTTCCGTGACAGTATTATCGAATCCAGCCAAGTACGAACATAGGACACTGACGTGGTATAAAGGTTAACAAGCCTGTTTCAAGATGAATATTGACCGAGTAACGAGTTCGGTACTCCGTCCGATCCATACTAAAGCTTTGTCACATCTAAACTACGCTTAGTGAGTCACTGGGCTCTTTGTGTAGCAGGCTCAGACTGACTAGTGAATTCGATCCTCACTGGGTGTTGCATACTGGCAACCTTATACTATACCAAAGCTTATAAATCACTCCGTATAACTACTGGAGTGATTCAAACTGAGGCAATAATTAGCAAGGTTGACGCACTAGATCGATTATGACAGATTAGCGAATTTGATCCTCACTGGGTGGTGCATCCCGACGGGTTTGTACCACAACTAAGCCAAGCGTAAGTCACTGGGCACCTCGACGTGGTTTCATGTTTGGAAAATGTCTCGCTTGTTTCGTCCTCATTGGATGTTCTATGCTTACCGCTTCGTGCCACGTTTAAGT